TATTTTAGTAAATAACAAAGAAATACATACTTTCAAGACCACATTCGAAAAATAAACAAAGTCTGTCCTTAAATTTACCTACGAACCTAGTCAAAAATTAACTCCCATTCTTAGACGTTTTCACTTTTATCACCTCATTATATAACAAATCCACCAGTAGAGACTCTTGCCACTCTTTAAGAGTGAATTCCCACTCAGATATAAAATGGCAATGACAAAAACCTTCCTAAAATGTTTGTGCTTCTATTGGTTCCGCCCTAGGGCCAACATTTAGCAACTTCAAGATGACTAACCTAGAAAATAACGTATTTAATACCAAAAAAATTCGTTTACCTAAGATATGTAGATGTCATTCTCATTTTAATAAAAAAAAAAAGACGAAATACATGAACAATAAAAAATCTTTAAAAAAAACGTACTTAATTTCACATACGAACTTAACAAAGACAATAAAATCCCGTTTCTTGACGTATTGATAGACACTAATAATAATAAATTTATAAAAAAAAACAGCTAGCATAAACACGTGCAAAACCAACTATAAAGTGAATGTGCTAACTATTGCAAAATAGCTATGATACGAAACTTAACAAACCGTGCAAAAGCTAATTCTAATTTTCTAACTGGAATTATAATATTTATTTTTATTTCTATTTATATGATAGGTCGAAACGAGTTTTTTTTTTAAATTTTGGCTTGAGTGCGCGAAATATATTATTGTTGGGTTGGAATATTATTGGAGTTGAATATTTAAAGGAATTCTAGTTTAGTCTTGAATTTGAATTTAAGAATAGATTAAATTTTAGGATTGAAAATAATGTTGGAAATAAGAAATGCAATTTCTAAATTAGGGAGCTGCTTGTTTTGAAAACGTAAATAAACAAAAAATGAGAGTTAAAAAATCAAGTGGGTGTGCAACTCTATTTTAAAGATTATGGAAGTTATCCATAATTATAATACTAGACTAAATAATGCTATCAGTAACAAAAAGTATGCCGTGATAAAATAAGATTATATATATATATATATATATATATATATATATATATATATATATATATATATGGGAGATGAGTATCCATGCTCCTTTATAGCATATTTGCCACCGGTAGAATTAATCAAGTTTGTGGTCTGTTTCCGTAAGGGTCATATTTGCCGTGCGAAAAAATTTGAATCCCTGAGTCTGAATAAGCAACGGGGCGCCTCGCATAGATTTTTAGATTCTTTGCTCTAGTCTCTCTGAACACTGAACTCTATCCTCCTCCGTGCAACACTATTCTGAGCCTTTACTGTATCTATGTATACTGTGCACGTATCACAGATATGTACAGAGATTTGAAATTGACTCGTAATAATTTTATCACTCTTACAATTATGCCATGTTCTAAGACAAAGATAAGTTTGCTAAATTTTATCATATGCTACCGTTGTGCACGACTGGGGATAAATAAAAAATACTGATGAAATATAAAATATTTCGGCATAGATTCGCAACAGTCTTTTGCTACACTTTTAGAGATTTGAATTTATATATATATATATATATATATATATATATATATATATATATATATATATATATATAAGCGATAAAACATGCCAGAGAAATAAATGCGTTTTTTCAAAAGAAGGAACGGAATATCTATGCGAATGCAGACATGTATATTGCTGCTTGTTTCAACGCCACAACTTGATTGATATGTAAACGATGTCAAATGTGGCTCGGATGATCTATTGGATATATCACAGTTATAATTTGTATGAATCACTCGATTCAACTATCATTATCTGACGATGTATCCGTCTATCCACACTAATAATATACACACACATAAACACACGCTCATATATATATATATATATATATATATATATATATATATATATATATTTATATTTATGTGTGTGTGTTTTACGTTACGAAAAACAAAAAAATATGTTTTTATTCAGTATTCTAATGTTCTTACAGTTTTTTTTTCTATTATGCGGCCTAAGAAAGTGGAGAAAGTGAATAATTTCCCAAGCACCTTCGACCAATTCATGAGGCATCACACCATCAAATAATTATTCATGTTTATTTACTTATATATTTTCTGTCCTTTAAGTTAGTAAATTTATGAGTGATTCCCGTGCAAAATTAACCGTTTAATTAATCAGTTCCTTTATTCCTAGGTTTTCTTAAATAGTTGTTTAATTTATTCAGGTCTTTCTTCTGACTCAACCAGATATCTTTATCTATTAAGTGATCCTATTCCTTCAACTGTTCAGTTGGTCTTGAACTACATATATATATATATATATATATATATATATATATATATATATATATATATATATATATATATATATATATATATAGGGTGCGATGGGTAAATTGTCGCCTTCTTTAGTTTTTAAAAATAAAAATAAAAACACCATGACACAATTCACTCCGCCAATAATTACGAAGGTACGGCAACAGTGAAAACCCTCTACCCAGGCAATGATTAATAACGAAAAATCCAAGTAAGTTAAATCTATAGTTGGTCTTCTTTGTCGTTCTGATACTAACTGCATTTCTTCCGAAAGA